GTAACCCACACCTGTATATTATCTTACCTGTAGGACAGGTAACATATCGGGAACACTCTCTTTGAGGTAGTGATAGTGACGCCACACATGGCCTTGGAACATTGGCATCATGGTTGGTGTGTTTACCGCCGAGTTAAACACCAATAACAGGATGCTGATGTCTGGGGTCAGGGGTTAAAGGTCATATAACAAACATAACTCTCATCAATGAAACATTTCGATTAAACTTACAGACCTATATTTGAAATTCCTAACACATCTATTCAAATTGAACTCTCTTTCATTATGATTGAAATGAGTGGTAAAGATTTAAAGTGTTATGTAAGAAAAAACACTTCACAAATTGAATGATAGATAGAAACCAGCACCTAATATAATGAGGTAATTTTGATAAAACAATTCCTGTTGCTACTTATTTCATTGTTTAAAATGGGCAAATTTATTCTTAAAATAAGCATGTATCAACAGGCCTAAAACTTGCATAAACAGTAAAGATATATCTTTATTATTAATCTGGAAAAGATAAACAAATGAACATTTACAGATTATATACTGTATATGCACAGGTAGCCAAGGATACAGGCAGGGTCCTCCATATCAGGTTCGGGTGTGTCAAAGTACGGGTGTAGACAGAGGAGCTCAGGAACCAGTGGAAGAATGAGATGGGCGTGGTGTTTGCCAAGGTTCTGCATACAGCGCCACACAGAGAGTTTGTCCTGAGGGTACCGCCTCAGGTTGTCTAACAGACTCATAACGCTTGTGTTCAGGCACTCTTTTGTGGCAAGCTTCATCTCACACAGCATGTTCTGAAGGGCTTCTCGTGTACTGCCTGAAAAGTCCTGCCGAACAAATGTACAAGATACAAATTATATTATATAACTTCATATGGATCAAATCATTTCTTAAATTAAAATTCATCTTTCCCACTATGTTTACCTGTAAATCACTTGCATAATTTGACATTTACTCTTAACACCTGTTCATTTTTTGTTTATTATTTTAGAGCTGTCAAAAGGATTGCAAAATTGAAATCTGTCGGCATTAAATAGTTGTATCTATATATGACATTTTTACCTGTATAACACCTGTATGACATTATTACCTGTAGAACACCT